TCAAGGTATAAATACATCAGCACCAGGCCTTCTGGCATTTACTAGCTGTGTAACATCTCTGATTCTCAATTTTCTCATCTGTAAAGTGGTAATGTACCTATAGTATCTATTTATTATTATCATCATCACAATCAAGTAGTAGTAGTAGTAGTAGTAGTAGTAATAAGAGGAGGAGGAGGAGGAGTAAAAGAAGAAGAAGAAGAAGAAGAAGAAGAAGAAGAAGAAGAAGAAGAAGAAGAATAGCTAGCTTTTTTTTGAGGCAATCAGAGTCGAGTTCCTTTCCCAGGGTCACACAGCTAGTAAGTGTCTGAGGCCAAGTTTGAACTCAGGTCCTCCTGACTCTAGGGCCAGTGTTCTATCCACTATGCCACCTAACTACCCAATAGCTTGCATTTCTATAAAGCTTTACGGTTTGCAAAACACTTTCATGTAATTGGAACACTTCTGTATTGTTGGTGGAGTTGTGAACTGATCCAACCATTTTGGAGAGCAATTTGGAACTATGCCCAAAGGGCTATAAAAATGTGCATACCCTTTGACCCAGTAATAGCACTTCTAGGGCTGTATCCCAAGGAGATCATAAAAATGGGAAAAGGACCCACATGTACAAAAATATTTATAGCAGCTCTTTTTGTGATGGCAAATAATTGGAAATTGAGGGGATGCCCTTCAATTGGGGAATGACTGAACAAGCTGTGGTATATGAATGCAATGGAATACTGTTGTGCTATAAGAAATGATGAGCAAGCAGACTTCAGAAAAACCTGGAAAGACTTGTATGGACTGATGCTGAGTGAAGTGAGCAGAACCAGGAGAACATTGTACACAGTAACAGCCAAGTTATACAATGACTAACTTTGATAGACTTAGCCCTTCACAGCAATACAAGGATCTAAGACATCTCCAAGGGTCTCATGGTGGAAAATGTTATCCATATCCAAAGAAAGAGCTATGGAGTTTGAATGTAGATTGCAGCATACTATTTGTTTTTTTCTTCTGTTTTGTTTTGTTTTGTTTCCTCTTTCTTGTGGTTCCTTCTATTGGTTCTAATTCTTCCTTACAACATGACTAATGTGAAAATATGTTTAACAGGAATGTATATGTATAGCCTATATCAGATTGTGTATTGTCTGGGGGAGAGAGGTAGGAAGGGGTTAGTGAAAAATTTTAAACTCAAAAGCTTATGGAAGTGATTGTTGATAAATCAAAATAAATTAATAAAAAAGTTTTAAAAAACCATTTTCATATAGTATCTCATTTGAGGCAGCTAGGTGGCATAGTACATAGAATGTTGGAGTCAAAGTCAGGAAGACTGAGTTCAAATTCTTCCTCAGACACTATGTAACCCTGGAGAAGTCACTTAGCCTTTCTCAGCCTCAGTTTCTGCATCCATAAAATGGAGATAATAATAATATCTACCTCCCAAGTTTGTTGTGAGGATCAAGTGAAATAATATGGGATCTATTTCACAGGGTAGTCATTTTGTTAACATGAAAATGCTATGTAAATATCAGCTATTTTTAGTGGTCACTTCTCTTCTCTGAGACTCCTCTGTAAAATAAGTGGGTTAGACTATAGTAAGGTTCACCTAGACGAACATGTTGTAATCTTCTCATAGAATATAAGCTCCTTGAGGTCAGGGACCACCTCACTTTTGGATTTGTCTCCTATGCAGCTAGGTGGTACAGTGGTGATAAACCTGGAATTAGGAAGACCAGAGCTCAAATCAAGTCTCAGACACTTAACTAGCCATGTGACCTGGACAAGCTATTTAACCTCTGTTTGTCTCAGTTTCCTCATCTGTAAAATGGGGATAATAATAGTACCTACCTCCCAGATCAAGATCAAATGAGATAATACTTGTAAAGCACTTAGCATAGTGCCTGGCATATAGTAGGCACTATATGAATGTTAGCAATCATTATTATTATTATTATTACTATGCTGAGGATCATACCTGACACATGGTAAACTCTTAATATTGCCTTTCTATACTGCACTTGAATTCATATAAAATTCACAAGAAGCATTTGTCTAATTTTAGAATACCTCGTGTGGTATGTAGGTCAACTATTAATATCATCCCATTCAGAAAATAAAGGGATTTTCCCAAGGTCACACAGATAGTAAGAGTAAGAATTGAGATTTTAACCGTAAGACCAATCTGTCTCTAAGACCAATGCTTCTTCCACAAAATCACACCACATATTTTTCCCCCAGGTCCTAATTAAACCATCTATGTAATTAGGAAATTGCACTAAATATGATCTAAGGTATAGAAATAGTAATATGACATTCACCATTTTTAAAGTATTTTCAGTGGGAAATATAGGTGAGGTAAAAATAAAAGATACCAATAATTTTTATTTTTTAAAGGGAAATGTTGAACTGGCTAGGATGTTAGTCCTGAATCCAATAAAATGAAACTTAATAGGGTTAAATGCAAAGTCTTGTATTTGGGCTCAAAAATTGAACATCAAAAGTACAAAATTATTGGGGTATAGCCAGATAGGTCATTAAAAATAATGTAAGGGTTTTAGCATACTGCACGCTTTGGGCAGTTAATAAATCTAATGTGATTTTAAGTTCTATTAAGAGAGGCAAAGTTTTCAGGTATAAGACAGATGTCTTTGTTGAGCTGTCCAATATATAAAGAGACAACTTGAGACTGGCATGGACAGATATAGTCTAGGATCTGGCCCATCTTGGTAATGAATGGGAGGAGGGTCATGCCAGCACCACCAGCCTGGAAGGGAGGGAGGCATGCAGGATCTAGGACTGACAAGGCTGGACAATCTCTCCTTTAGTCTCCAATATCTGAGAGGGAGTATTGGGCCAGAATTATATGTATCATGCAACAAATATCTCTAGTCTAAGAGTACATCTGATAGTTTGGATGTTCCAATAAAAAAATTACTAACCTTGATCATTTCAAGGGAAGGGTAGCCCTTAGCTTACACTCATCTACTTAACCCCATTAATACCATTATAAATCGATATTAAAAACCTCTTTATCAGAGAAAGCAGCAGATTAGATATACTATTGAATATATAAGAGTAAATGAGCTCTTCAGTGGGGAGTGAGATAAGATCTCAGCTCAGATAAGGAGAGAAAACTAGCTCATGGAGGGGAAGTCTACTCTCAACAGTCCCTGTGGCTTCAGGTGGTAGAAAACAAGGGACATGATTGGGGCTGTCTTCTCCTACTTACCCTGGACTCTGGAGTTCTGCTCTGTTATTCAAAAGTCTGAGCCTAATCTGTTTCTTGATCCACCTCTCAAGGTCTTCTCTTGGAGTGTGTATCAAAAAATACCTGCTTTATATGAATATGCTGCATAGTACTTAGCATTTAGTATTTTCTCAGCCAAGCAGGAATCATGTCCCCTTACATGTATGCAGTGCCTTGCCTACAGGACATCTCCCAGTCAGTAGGGAGAGATGTTACACAGGAATGAGAAGGTAATAGTCCTGATATGGTCAGCTCTGGTTATACCCATCTGACATACTGTGTTTAGTTCTGAACAAAGCATTTTGCTAAGAGTAGTGATAAACTGCAGAGTGTCCACAGGAGGAAAACAGGGTAATAGAGGGTCTCTCATTTATGTGACAGGGGGATCTGTTAGGTATTGTTAGCCTACAGAAGAGAAGACATTGGAGGATATAATAACTATCTTCAAATATTTGAAGGATATTCCTGTGGAAGCAAGATTAGACTTGTTTTGCTTAGTTTGAGAGGCCAGAACTAGGGGCAGTAAGGAGAAACTTAAGGAAAAAAAAAAGGAGCATTTCGGCTTAATATAAGGGATGCGTGTATCTCTGTGTGGGGGGGTGTTCCCCTCACAATGGAGGAGAACCTCCATCATAATTAAAGCTATAGAAAAATGAAATGGGTTATTGCAGGAGACAGTGGGTTTCATTAGAGGTCCTCAAGCAAAGACTAGATAGATGACCACTTGGGCAAGTTTTCATGATTTTGGTTCTTCCCACTTACCTTATGGGTTCCCACTTATGGGTTGGACTGGATGACCACTAAGATCCCTTTCATCTCTGAGAATCTGAAAAGTCAAGTCAAGTCAAGAAGCACTTCTTAAAGTGCTGATCATGTGGCAATGTACTGAGTGCCGAGGACAGAGTCACTGCTCTCAAGGAGCTCACATTCTAATGGGGTGACACCATACAAATAGCTGTGGACATATAAGATAGGTACAGTATAAATGGAAGGTAATGTCAGAGGGTAGAGACCAGTGGGAGCTAGGAGTGTGAGGGATGAAACTTTCCTGCAGAAGGTGAGCATTTGAGCTGAGTCTTGAAGGAAGCCAGAGAAGCTAATGGAAGTTGAGGTTGAAGAGCATTTAAGGCAAATACACAAACAAGAGACAGATGTGTGAAAAACAGCAGGGCCAATGTAGCTGGATCTTGGAGTAAAATATGAAAGAGAATAAAGCATGAAGAGACTGACTGGAAAGGGAGGAAGGCCTCAGTTTTTCTTATTAGGTCATCCTTTTAATTTCCTTTTCTAGAGACCGACTTATATCCCCAATAGCCTCTCCACTGAATATTTCTCTCTATATAAAAGAATCCAGTCTCTGAGTGATTTAGAGTACTTTAATGTAGCGAGCACCTAGACAGTGAAAAGTTCAAATGAAATCAGTTTAGCTTCCTAAATTTCTAGAGTTCTTGTTATCATAGACCAAGAAAGGAACATTTGTGTCACATGGAAAGTAAAACTAAACATTCCACTACATTTTCCAGACATTGCCTTTGCTTTGCCGAACATATATTTAATGAAATAAAGGTGTCCCAGAGTGAGTGTGGACATTCAGGAGGTTATCCATAAATCGGTTTTATGGGCACTTATGAACTCCAAAATATGAGTTTTTAAAACTACAAGTAAAATCATGTCTTTATTTCTCTAAAATAAGCTTAATCACTCCCCCTCATTTATTTTTTCAATTAAAAGTTTTATTTAAAACAACATGAATCATCAATAAAAGCTCAGTACTTGCTTAGGCTCTACTTACATTGAAATGAATTAATTTCATCACATAAAGTATCATGTCACTTTTTCAGTTCTTCCATGTAAGTTCCCACAGGGCCCCTTTGTCCTTTCATTCTCATGGACTTTTCCTCATGTGATCGTATTTAGTGTGTAATCACTCCTTTCTTCTTGATAAAAGAAAGACTCCAACTTCTTGGCTTTCTTACCTTCTGTGTTTGGATTCTGTAAGGTGAGTCACTGGTATCATAACTGTCATTGGCTTCTTTTCCAGACTCTGTTGTACAAGTAGAATGTTTGTGCCTGGAATATGGAGAAGGAAGCATTTCCCATCCTGTGGTTTTGTTTTAAACTCTTTTTTGCTGCTGTTGTTGTTTCCATAGTTGAGCTGTATGCTTTAAAGAAAACAGAATCTGTGTTTTGCTAAATGCTGTAATTGGAGAAAATTCTTCATTATTGGATTCACAAAGCTCATTCTCTCTCTCTCTCTTTTTGCATCTATTCTCCCCACTCCCCTCCCCTCCCCTCAAGGTCTCATCAGCACCCATAAAAGAAAAAGCAGAGGATCAATTCAACCCCTTCTCCCCTCTACCCACCCATCCAAATTGGCTTTTAATCTATGGAGATTGGCCACTTTATTTATTTTTACCAACAGTTGCCTGCTTTTCCTAAGTTCAGGTCTTAGACCCCTTCATCATGAAGTTCTCTTTTTGTTTTCTAGCTGCATTCCAATGACCATATGCCATGAATTTGGGGGTCTGTTACCATAATGTCTTAATGACCTCAAATCAGAGAAGTAAATCTATTTTAACCAGTGACCTTTGGAAAGGGCTAGGCATCCATCATGACACACATGGCTATAATAAGGAACACTGCCATGATCATATCTGAGTATTCGTATATCTTTCTGTGTGTGAATGGTGTAGACATATATGAGCACACCTACATGAAGGCATACTTGTGCCTCTTCACAATATATGCACAATGCACTCGCAGACACACACACATAAAGTATAGGTTGTATTTGTTCATATGTATATGAGTCTACTACACATAGACACTCTCAAAATTATATATACATTTTAGTATATACACATATTAATATATTATAGAATATGTATATACATATGTCAGTCAATCAGTAAACATTTTATGTATGTACTACGTTCCAGGCACTGTGTCAAGCACAAAAAAAGGCAAAAGACAGTACTTGCCCTCAAGGAGCTTACAAGTTTAGGGTCCCCAGCACCCCAATTCCATTTAACCACTTAACAATCCTATTACCTTTTACAAAGGAATAGTAAGGTATAGTAAGAACAAGCAAACATTTCCCCTCCCAACACCAGAGGGCCATAATTCCTTCCCCGCCCCAACTAAGCCAGCTCAATCTCTGGGAATGGGAGGAATATTGAGTTTACAGCTTACTTTAATTCCCATATATCACAATCCTACCAAGTTCCCAGTCAAAACTCCCCCTGGATTTATATCCCAACACCCTGCTTCTTGAGGCTGCCCTGCTTGGTTGATAGCAGTGAGATCTGGCTTCTGATTCTGGTTCCAGGATTGCCATGATTCAAACTCTCTTTCTAAGGACTCTACCTCCTATGCCTAGAATTGAAAAGGACAAGTGAAAAAAAACAAAACTCCAGCCTGATTCTCAAAAACACAGGGCCTAAAGGGGAGGGCAAAGGTAGGCCTTCCCTCCACCCTGCTCAATGCATGGTACCTAAGTTTCAGGTGAACAGGATCTTCACCCCTTGAACAGGTGGAGAAAGGGAGAGGAAGAGGGAGGGAGGAGAGAGAGAAACACACAGAGACAGAGACAAAAAGAGAGACACAGAGACTATATCAGACTTGTAGTTTTAAAAATGAATCCTGTTTGGGCTACACAGAAATGAAAATAGGCTGCTCCCACCCACTTAGCAGAGGAAGACATTATGTCTTTTCCCAGAGGCAGGTACCTGGCGTTTCCTACATGGGCACTTCTGTATTAGGTCACCTGGGCATACACAAAACTTGTTTACATAAAGTTTGTGGAACTTTCTTGTTGTCCACTTGGTCCCAAAAGGGAATGTGCTGACTGTTGAATGGTTGGTCTTAGGTCTAATTTGAAATTTTCCTTTTTCTTTTCTTTTCCCAGACTCTGCAACAGGGCATTTAATTATCTGTTGGTGTTCAGAGTAGATACTTACATGAAAATGTTTGTATTTCTGGCTAATTGTAAGCTCATTTACAGTCAGTGCTATAAACTAAGACTCCTTTAGCTTAGAGAAGATTGTTTCATGCTGAATTGCGTTCTCAATCTGCATATTTCTTCTCACACTGAGTCAGGCTTGGGTATTTCCGAGAAATAGACTAACCCATACAGAATTCAGGGTCGAAAGTAACAGCTAATGTTGAATTCTTATGATGTATAATGAACAATCTGATCTTGGAAAACTGATAAGAAAACAAATGTGCATCTTCTGAGTAGGTACTACAGATATTACTAGATTCATTCTTCAAATGTAGAAACCAAGGCCCTTAGAAGTTAAGCGGTCACTGTGGTTAAAAAGTCCTGTAGTTACACAGCTGGTATGAGTCAGAGGAGGGATTCAAAGCAAGGTCTTCCTCACACCATCATTTTCCTCACTTCACTATGTTATGATTATGGAACATGATAAACATTGTCAGAGGCCATGGATCTTTAAACTGGCTTTACTTAAATGTTTTTCTTTATTACAGTAAAAGATTTGGTGGAAGGAGATGGGTTAAGGGGAAATGACTTCAGTATAAAAACAAAACCCAACAATGTACTTAAAAATTAAAGATTATGCCATTAGGCAAATTCTTACATTTAAGTGCTGTCTTAAAGAATAACTTATAATTCCTTTGCAAAAGAAAACATGTCTAATATCTTATATGTATTTAGTATTTTATGGTAACAAAATATTTTAATGCCCATTTCTTTAAAGTTGAATTGCATAGCAATTTTAAAAGGTTATAAGGTCAAATATTATTATAAACATTTTAAAGGTGGACTAACTGAAGGCCATAGGGATGAAATGTCTATCAAGATTGTACAGGTAACAGTTGTTGGAGCTGGGACTTGAGCTCAGAAATTTTGACTCCAAACTCTGTAATGCCTGCTGCCATATCTATCTTCTGTCTCTAATATGGATTGACTAGTCCTACAGCATCACTGCCACAGCAAACCCACTAGGCTTTGCCAGCACCGATGCTCAGGTCAAGACTAGAGTGGCCTCCATGAAGAAGATGACGTGTTAGAAAATTCTGTCAGATAAACTTCATGAAACTTTTAATTTAGAGAATGTTGTCTCATGCTGAATTCCCATTTCAACTTGCACATTTCTTCTCCTGATGAGTAAAAGATTGTGTGAATATCAGACTTAGGTACAATAAGTATGTTTTGGTTGATTTGATTTTGCAATGGCCAAAGGGCAAGAAAACATTTATAATGGGAAATATTTTTAATTTATTGAAACAAAGCAGAAATTTATTTTGTATTGTGCTATATATTATGTAAGAGAAAAGAGAAGTAACAAAGGAGACATGTGCTGGAGTAGAAAGAACATCAAATCTGGTGTTAGAGAAACTGGTTTTAAATCCTGGATCTGATATTTAATAGATTTGTTCAATAAACAAGTCACTTCCTGTCTCTGAGTCTCAGTTTCCTAATCTGTAAAACAAAGGGGTTGAACTTATCTCTCAAGTCTCTTCTATCTCTAAATCTTATATCTTGTATGGAAAATAACATTTAGAAATATGGAGAAATGGAGAAAAACAATGAAAAATGGAAAATATCTCTAAAGATTTGTATAACAATTTTTTATTATTTTTTCAATATTCATCTTCATTATTCATAATTTTTTTCCATTAATAACAATGGACCCTTCACATTTGGTATCTACTCATAGTTCCTGATGTATTACACAAAGAAGTTAAATTAATGAAAAGAAGAAAGTTAATGATAAGTTGGAGTGTGTATGGAAGAAGTCCAGGCTAGTTAAGGACCTTGGGTTCATGTTATAGGAGGATTGATTGAAAGAACCAGGACTTCTAAGTCTGCAGAAGAGAAAATTGGAGCCATAAGATATACTTTATATTCTATCATGTGGACCAAAGCTTCTTAAACTTTTCCCACTTGCGACCCCTTCAGCATTTCTTAAACTATGGGTCTCAACCCCATATGGGCAGAATGAGGAACAGTGGGTGGAATTTGCAAATTATCAAATTTAACATCAGGAAAAATTTCCTAATGATTAGAGCTGTCCAAAGTGTAATGGGCCACCATGAAAGGTAGTGGAATCTCTCTCCTTGGGGGCAATGTGGAAACAGAATTTGAGAGAGGTTAAGTGGTTTAACCAAAATTATGTAAGTAGTTAGTGGAAGAAAGGCTATTGTCCAGAATATAATAGCATTATACTTGAGGTTGGGTGGTTAACTTATAGAATATAATCAACACTCCATTACTCAGAAATATTAGGTAGCTTTTTTTAATATTAAACATTTATTAATTTATTTACTTTTAGTTTTCAACATTCACTTCCACAAGATTTTGAGCTCCAAATTTTCTCCCCATCTCACCCCACCTCCCATCACAAAATGGCATGCATCTGAATGCCCCTTCCCCTAATCTGCCCTCCCTTCTATCTCCCCTGCCCATTCTCTTATCCCCTTCCCCTTCTATTTTCCTGTAGAGCAAGATAGATTTCTATACCCCATTGCCTGTACATCTTATTTACCAGTTCCATGTGAAAACAATTTTTTAACATTTGTTTTTAAAACTTTGGGTTCCAAATTTTCTCCCTTCCTCCCTCCCCACACTCCCTCATTAAGGAGGCAAGCAACTTGATACATGTTATACATGTGTAATACAAAACACCTCCATAGTAGTCATGTTGTGAAAAACTAACTATATTTCCCTTCATACTTTCCCACCCTCATTTATTCTAATCTCTCTTTTGACCCCGTCCTTTCTCAGAAGTGTTTGCTTCTGATTACCCCCTCCCCAAATCTGCCCTCCCCTTTCTCATTCCCTTGCTCTCTTATCCTTTCCCCCCCTATTTTCCTGTAGGGTAAGATAGATTTCCATACCCAATTGAGTGTTTATGGTATTCCCTCCTTAAGCCAAATCCAATAAGAATAAGATTTACTCATTCCCTCTCAGCTTCCCCCACTTCCCCTCCACTATACAAGCTTTTTCTTGTCTGTTTTATGTGAGATAATTTACCCCTTCTACCTCTCCTTTTCTCCTTCTTTCAGTATAATCCTCCCTCACCCCTTAATTTTATTTTTTAGATGTCACCCCTTCATCTTCAACTCACCCTGTGCCCTCTATCTATCTATCTATCTATCTATCTATCTATCTATCTATCTATCTATCTATCTATAC